GAGGTTAAAATTGAACTTTTTGGCCGGAATGAGCAAAGGTACGTTTGGAGAAGAAGGGGCACAGAATTTAATGAAAAGAACCTCTGTCCAACTGTTAAGCATGGGGTTGGATCAATCATGCTTTGGGGCTGTGTTGCAGCCAGTGGCACAAGGAACATCTCACGAGTAGAAGGAAAAATGGATTCAATATAATTTCAGCAAATTTAGGATGGTAACTTGATGCCATCTGTGAAAAAGCTGAAGTTAAAGAGAGGATGGCTTCTACAAATGGATAATGATCCTAAACACACCTCGAAATCCACGGGGGATTACATCAAGAGGCGTAAACTGAAGGTTTTGCCATGGCCTTCACAATCTCCTGACCTCAACATAATTGAAAATCTATGGATAGACCTTAAAAGAGCAGTGCGTGACAGACAGCCCAGAAATCTCAAAGAACTGGAAGCCTTTTGTAAGGAAGAATGGGCAAAGATAGCTCAAACAAGAATTGAAAGACTCTTGGCTGGCTACAAAAAGCGTTTACAAGCTGGGATACTTGCCAAAGAGGGCAGTACAAGATATTAACTCTGCAGGGTGCCCAAACTTTTGCAGACGCCATTTTTTTGTTTTCTGTTATTTTGATTGTGTAAATGATGGAAATAAAATCTAACTTTTGTTCACATATTATAAGAATGTCTAATCTGTAATTTGATGCCTTTTGGAGATTTTTCCATCTTTCCTTGGCTTCTTTATGCACATTAATACATATTTTTAGCTGGGGTGCCCAAACTTTCGATCCCCACTGTATATTAATTATAATCAACATTTTCTATGGGATACTCTACTACAAAATACTCCCACAAATGTGGGCCATTGATTGCAAACAAGATTTGTTAATTTGCACACTTAAAAAAGTATTTTTCCTAACACATTTATTCAAGACCATGTTGCAAAAATTAATATACCCAATGCTGAAAGTCTTAGGAGCAAAGCTACATTTTAGACAGCAAATCACAACTTAATTAACAAGAATTCAACTATAGATGAGTCTAATTATTCATTAGACAGGTGTCCATGAGACAGTTGATTACAAAAGGGCTTAACAAAGAAAAAATCTTACTTTTCAAAAGGGGTGTACTCATTTATGCTGAGCACTGTATACATAGTGACATGGGGTAGTTAGCGCTTGTGGTACATGCGTTCATACAGTGAGTCCATGTTAGACAGGAACTATTTTTAAGGGCCTGGTAGCCCACTTTTATTAAAACAGCAGAAAGCAAAATGACAGTCCAGCATAACATTTCTCACACGGGATCTTCTCCAGCTTCAGCATAATACAAATACTGGAAAATGCCGAGCCACCTGGCTCATAAACTCACTCAGCTTCATATGCAGAACCACGCTGCACCTTTTACCAGTCTCAGTGGCTGTGTTATCCAGCTCTCTCGTGGATACTTGCCTCTCTAGCCTTTAGCCACAGTTCCCCACTGCATGGCCCACCTCTGGCATATGAACTGGGGTTCTCCTGACACTTCAGTAGAAGCTAACCTGTCTCCTGGAACTGAGACCCTTGTCTCTTGGATTCTGGCTGGGTCCTCTGACCCCTCCATGAGACCTTCTGTCTCCCCCACTGAGAGCTGTATCCAAACTGGGAGCTCTGAGATACCCTCAGGCCTGAGAATATAACGACACTGCACACCTGTGTACTCAGCCAGGTTGTAGGTATCGAGCAAAACCCAGACACAAGATTGAGTGTTCTGATCCAGAACTACAGAATCCAGAAAAAGCCAAATACACAGCCTTCTCTGCTCAGAAACGCTAGTCTGGGATGTGGCATTTACCTTAAACACAAATCGTGTGTCACATTTTCCTATGTTTTCAAAGTAATAGAGCCTCGTCCTGTCAATATATATATATATATATATCGTATTTTCCGGCGTATCAGACGACTTTTCAACCCCTGAAAATCTTCTGAAAAGTCGGGGGTTGTCTTATACGCCGGTGCGAGCCGGTGTCAGGGCGGCACTTTTTCGAGGGGCGGCGCAGCGCCGCCCCCCTCCTCCTCCAACAGACACTAAGTACAGGGGTGGGCAGAGGGGCTGCTATACCTTACCTGGCTCCGGTCCCACGACGATCCGGTCCAGGAAGCGCGGCTGCTCCTTCTTTCAGTCCGGCCGCTCGATGGTCACGCGGCCGCTCGGCTCCGCCTCCTCACCGGTGATTGGGCGCCAGCACTGGAAAGGCACACAGGCGACCAATCACCTGCGAGGAGGCGTAGCCGAGCGGCCCCGCGAAAAATCGAGCGGCCGAACTGGAAGAAGGAGCAGCCGCTCCTCTCCCCCACTGACACTAACGATGGGGCACTATTCCTCCTCCCCACTGACACCAATGATGGGGCACTATTCTCCCCACTGATACCAATGATGGGGCACTATTCTCCCCACTGATACCAATGATGGGGCACTATTCTCCCCACTGATACCAATGATGGGGCACTATTCTCCCCACTGATACCAATGATGGGGCACTATTCCTCCCACTGACACCAATGATGGGGCACTATTCCTCCCACTGACACCAATGATGGGGCACTATTCCTCCCACTGACACCAATGATGGGGCACTATTCCTCCCCACTGACACCAATGATGAGGCACTATTCCTCCCCACTGACACCAATGATGGGGCACTATTCCTCCTCCCCACTGACACCAATGATGGGGCACTATTCTCCCCACTGATACCAATGATGGGGCACTATTCCTCCCCCACTGACATCAATGATGGGGCACTATTCCTCCCACTGATACCAATGATGGGGCACTATTCCTCCCCCTGACACCAATGATGGGACACTATTCCCCCCACTGACACCAATGATGGGGCACTATTCCTCCCACTGATACCAATGATGGGGCACTATTCCTCCCCCACTGACACCAATGATGGGGCACTATTCCTCCCCACTGACACCAATGATGTGGCACTATTCCTCCTCCCCACTGACACCAATGATGGGGCACTATTCTCCCCACTGATACCAATGATGGGGCACTATTCCTCCCCCCCCACTGACACCAATGATGCGGCACTATTCCTCCCACTGATAACAATGATGGGGCACTATTCCTCCCCCTGACACCAATGATGGGACACTATTCCCCCCACTGACACCAATGATGGGGCACTATTCCTCCCACTGATACCAATGATGGGGCACTATTCCTCCCCCTGACACCAATGATGGGGCACTATTCTCCCCACTGATACCAATGATGGGGCACTACTTCTCCTCCCCACTGACACCAACGATGGGGCACTATTCCTCCTCCCCACTGACACCAACGATGGGTCACTATTCTCCCCACTGACACCAATGATGGGGCACTATTCTCCCTACTGATACCAATGATGGGGCGCAATTCCTCCCACTGACACCAATGATGGGGCACAATTCCTCCCACTGACACCAATGACGGGGTGCTATTCCTCCCACTGATACCAATGATGGGCCGCTATTCCTCCCACTGACACCAATGATGGGCCGCTATTCCTCCCACTGACACCAATGATGGGACACTATTCCTCCCACTGACACTAATGATGGGACACTATTCCTCCCACTGACACCAGTGATGGGGCACGATTCTTCCCACTGACACCAATGATGGGGCACTATTCCTCCCACTGACACCAATGATGGGGCACTATTCCCCCACTGACTAATGATGGGGCACTATTCCTCACACACTGACACTAATGATGGGGCACCATCATTGGTGTCAGTGGGAGGAATAGTGTCCCATCATAGGTATCAGTGGGAGGAATAGTGCCCCATCATTGGTGTCAGTGGAGGAAATAGTGCCCCATCATTGGTGTCAGTGGGAGGAGTAGTGCATCATCATTGGTGTCAGTGGGAGGAATAGCACCCCATCATTGGAATACCATACTGAAATAGCATACCATATTGAAATCAAATCTGATGTTTTTTTATTTGGTGTACGTTGGAAGAGGGGTAGTCTTATACGGCGAGTATAGCTCAAACCCTATATTTTAACAGGAAAAGTAGGGGGTCGTCTTATACGCCCAGTCGTCTTATACGCCGGAAAATACGGTATATATATATATATATATATATATATATATATATATATATATATAAATATATATATGCATGTTTTGATTTTCACTTCTACTTTAAACTCAGTGGGTAATTTTACAAGGTGAGGGTTCATCTACACTTTGTCTGGTACAAGTACTGTATTTTATTGCAAAAGAAAGCAGTACAACAATGTGACTGGATCAAACCCAATAGGGTATATGGTATTTGGCTAAAGAAACATATCAAGGTACTTCGCAATGTGGACAAACAAAAATGTTTGTGTGATCCAAGAGGCAAATACAAGGTAGCAAGGTGGCCTAAGGGATAGGCATCCCAAAACTGAGGATCTATCAAACAAGGAAAATCAGCAGTAGTTGTAGGAATGAGCAAGTATACCTACCCAAAGAGTAATCAGCACAGATAATAGGACAGCATGAATGTAGAGAGAATGCTTTCAAGAAATGGTTGAGCAAGTGTGAATGCTTAAACTACTGATTCCAAGATTACAGCCACAGAAGACGAGAGAATGAAGAGAAAGAGAAGTAGGGAGGAGAAAAAAAGAAGACTGAGGGGGGAAGTAGGTAAAGGGTTCCTAAGGAGTAATGAGAAGACAAGTAACATAATAATCTGGTTAGTCAGTGACCTAGTGGCATAACTAGGGTTGATATAGGGACTCACTAAAGTTGGAAGTGAGTCACCCATAGCTGTCACAGTTTTTTGTATTTGTGAACTCTACCTAGCCACCTTCCGCCCATCCTATAGTACAAGGACGGGCGCAAGGTGTTTCTCTCGTTCTGATAGGATGTCATATGACGTCCTACCATTCTCACTGCGCATGCGCGGCTCAGGGAGCGCGCAGCGCGGCGATCGCCCGTGCGCTGTGTCCCTCAGACACAGCGGATCACGGAAAGAGCCGAAGATGTCGTCTCGGTCATGTGATCAGCTGTGTCCAATCACAGCTGATCACATGTAAACATGGAAATGGCAGTTATCAGCATTTCTCTCCTCTCGAGCTGTCACGCTGACCGTTCGAGAGGAGAGCCCGTAATCGGCTTTCCGCAGAGGGGACATGTACACTGATCATGATCAGAAGTGCCATGATCAGGGCACTGATGATCAGAAGTGCCACCTGTCAATGCCACATATCAGTGCCCATCTGAGCTGCCTTTCAATGTCACCCATCAGTGCCAGTCAGTGCCACCTATCAGTGCCAGTCAGTGTCGCCTATCAGTGCGCGTCAGTGCGGCCTGTCAGTACCGCCTATCAGTGCCATATATCAGTGTCATGTATCAGTGCTGCCTTTCAGTTCCCATCAGTGATGCCTGTCAATGCCCATCAGTGCAACCTACCAGTGCCTCCTCATCAGTGCCCATCAGTGCCACCTACCAGTGTCCATCAGTACAGCCTATCAGTGCCCATCACTGCAGCCTCATTAGCATACATCAGTGAAGGAGAAAAATCACTTATTTACAAAATTGTATAACAAAAACTAAGAAAAAACATTTTTTTTTTCAAAATTTTCTGTGGTTTTTGGTTTGTTTAAGAAAAAATAAAAACCCCAGAGGTGATTAAATACCACCAAAAGAAAGCTCTATCTGTCTCAAAAAAATGATAAAAAATTTTCATATGGGTACAGTGTTGCATGACCGTGCAATTGTCATTCAAAGTGTGACAGCGCTGAAAGCTGGAAATTGGCCTGGGCAGGAAGGGGGTATAAGTGTCCTGTAGGCTAGTGGCTAGTGGATGGCCTCAATTTTAGCATGGATCAAGGATTGAATGATCCTGTTCTTAGTTTTTACAATAGGTATGCAGGGAGAGTTTTCAGGCCTTTCTCAATAGTTTGCTTCAAAGCAGTGGTAATTTGTAGTAATAATTTTAAATGGGTAGAGGTCAAACCTGGAGGGCATATGTTGAAGAGTACCTGAGAATAGAGGATCCTCACTCACAAAAGCACAAGGGGGAGTAATTGGGGGTGAATTTAGCTATCTTGGCAGGGGTCTAATCCAAAAGGGTGAGTAATTTATACTTGGTCTCTAGGGCAACAATATTTTGCACTGAGGAGTTGGTGGCTTTCGTGTTATATGTTACTCCAAGAGAATACCGATTAAGACAGATATGTATCATTTTTAATGTACAGTTAGTCCTAATGGTGTCTAATTGGAAATATTAACATTTTCTTACACCCCGGTCACATCAAAGCTGATTTTGAAATCGTGTGACTTACAGTGAAGTGGTACGATTTCGGGTGACCTGCCAATTTCCTTGCGATTTGCAAGACATCTGATATAGATGTCTATGTAAATTGCAACAAAAGTAGTGCATGCACTACTTTAGAAATCGGTTTGGCTCCAACCAAGTCGGAACCACACTGATACGACCACTCTAATAGCCGACAATAGGGTGTGACTTGGCATACAATTTGCAAGTTGCCTAGCATGCAAATCGCATTACAAATCACACCCGATGTGACAAGGGGCTTAATCAGCTTGGAGAATTGCGTACAGCTACTATTACCGGCATTCTCATACACTTAGTGCAGTTCATGTTTTTGTATGTTTCAGCTATTGCAACATAGATTTTATGGGATTCATTTACTTATTAATTATTGAAAATAAAAATTCCAAGTAAAGTTAATGTTAACTAAGCAAACATAATACAGTGTATGTTTATACGGAATAGCCAATCACATGCAGTGGATTTTAAAAATAAAAAAATATTTTTCCTTGCACATTGTTGGGTGAGTGAACCCCTTAGTAATAAGGGTAACTGCTACTTGAAGGCATTAATATAGTTTTGGGCATAACTTCAAAACCATCTAGATCTCTGCCCTACTATAAAGCAAGTGCTTTTACAGTGGAATTGAACTTAAAAGTATACATGAAATGTTCAGGTGACATTTCATAACTATGCACAACTGCATCCTCTTTCTATGCATCCCCGCTGTCTTTTAACTATTGTTTCACCACAGGTGTAAATAACCTGACTACACACCTGTAGTGTTCCTGCAAGTGTCTGACAGTCACTAGGAATGACAGTCCAATGTGCCCAAGTATTTATTATATCTGTAATTCCCACAAAACTATGTTTTTGAGGAAGTCTGTTGAGCAAAAGGACTATAAGAACAGAATACACGCAAGCTATTATTTTATAAATGTTTTTACCGCCCTACCTTGCTCTCAAATATTTTCTTAAATATAGAACTATCCTTTAAGAAACATATACATAAACATCACATAAAAAATGAGAGGCAGGCTTAAAATAAAATCTCTTCCAGTGATTACATGCCCAAGCAGCATTCAATGTAATTGCATAAATAAGGTAATCATAATTTAAATAAAGAGCACAGTTCAAGACATTACATAGAGCAGATGTTGAAAACAATAGTAGATATCAGAAATGTTTTGAAAAACTGATTGCACATACTTTTATGGTAATCTTGCTTGGTTCATGTTATCATGATTTGCAATCTAGTGTATGTATTCACATAGCTCTAAAATTATTGATGAAAATTTCCCTTTTTATTCCTTTTAAAAAGTCATGAATGCTAAACAGGGTTGCCAAATGTCAAGAAAATGTTTAAAAAGTTATAATGTGGCATATGTTTTACTGAAAATTAACTGTCACAGTAAATCATTAGCTGTAGGGGCAATGATTAGGAAGATGTAAAACTTCGGTTTTTAAATGTATACTGAATAAATCAGTTTACTTTTTAATGCGACCAAGGTTTGCTAAATCTGGTTTCCACCCATGCTGGACTACAGATATGCCTGTCTTTGTTCATCTCAATTTCATAGAGTTTCATGCAAGATCGGTAGTTTAAATAAGAAAGAAAAGATTGTTTTTGCTTTCAGTTTATAAAAGGTGAAAAATACTGGGGATATTTACTAAAACTGGAACATTGAGAATCTGGTGCAGCTGTGCATGGTAGCAAACAGTTTCTAACTTCAGCTTGTTCAGTTAAGCTTTGATGATAAAACCTAGAAGTTAATTGGTTTCTTTGCAAAGCTGCACTAGATTTTGAACTCTCCAGTTTTATAAATCTTCTTAACCTCCCTGGCGGTATAATTATTTCAGATTTTTGGTGCTGAAAGTGGTACCATTATTTTGCATGGAAATTTGGTGTTTTATATTGTAGGCCTGTAATTCTTAGGAATAACTCACTGAAATCTGTCCGAACAAGAGTCTAGTAAACATCCCGGGTAAGATAAAACTTGAAACACGAAATCATAAATTATAATTTAATAAATAATCATAAAAAATAATAATATAATAATAATACATTTAATTCAATAATATAATCAAACCAAAAACACTGAAATTTGAAATATAGCGCCAAGTTCACACATCACTGAGCAAAGTCGCAAAATCGTTTTCAGTGTCTGATGATGAATTTCCCCATGAATCATTATCACTCAATTCTACAAGTGGTTCTAAGTTACTATCGCTGTTCTCTAGCTGGTCTAAAACAGCTTTTGACCTAAAGGGACGCTTTTTGGATGCCATGGATGTTTCTCAGTTTCCAGGCAGAAAGAACAGTAAACATGCAGGCAGGGCACAGGACAAAGCACTAGGGACAAAAGGTATGTGAAATGGTTTGGTACAGTAATGTTTTACTATGTGATTTTAGTGATTTTTGTGAGTCACTTTTTCTCATTTTCAAATTTTCCGCCCCCATACGTCCCGATGCTCGCAGAGGATGGAACCCAGATGACAGATGACGGCATCCACTGGATTACATTGCAGGAGGGACATCGCGGGAGCGCAGGACAAGGTAAGTGACCGAGGGATCGCGGAGCAGTGCCGTATGGTAAGCCCGAGGGTAGCTCGGGGTTACCGCTTGTGGTAATGAAACTTTACCCTGATCTACACTTGGGAATACCACCAGGGAGGCTGCCTATGTTTCTGCCAAAATAAATAGTTATTTTCTGTACTTGCTGAAAATTTTCTTATCCTAAAAAATGTAAACTAACGCAGCCACTACAGCTAAGGACTGGTAAAGTGCAATATATTATCTTTTCATTCTTTGCTTTGTTGTCCATTAATCCTTTTACTCTCATTGTTGTAAGTATTACAGCATGGCAGGATAGTGATTGGCTTTTTTACCTATCACAGAGTCATCTTCAGGCTTTCAGATAATAGAAGAGATTCAGACAGCTTTAAAGCCACCTTATAATTTTGTATATGCTGGGAATGCCGAGGTCCCCTCATCTGAAGCCTTCATGGGTACCGTGGGCTCACCTAGGTCCTGAGGGAGTCTGGGAAGTCCAAATTCACTTTCTTGTTCCCTCCAGAATTTAGGGATCAAACTCTTTGCTGCGTTAATATAATGCAATACCAGACATTTATTGGATTGATGCACTAGTCACCTTATTCTTATTTGTTTAATATGTATTTTTATTAGGTTAATTAATATAGTACCCTCTAGGCTGAGCGCTTCATCCATTTTTCTGGTGTTTTTTTGGATCCAAGGTATAGGATTTAGATGATAGCAGCTTGCTTGGTTTCAAATAACTCTGTGGAGCACAGGAGGTTATCTACATAATATAATGCAATAACCCAGAATTTTTGTAGCCCCCTTTATACTCACCTGACCTGGATCCCAATACAGCAATGTGCACAAGAGCTGAGGCTCTCTTGGCTCTCTCACATCTCATTGGCTTAGAGCCATTGGTTCTCACTATCACAGCTAATGAGGAGGAAGCAGAGGGTGGGTCCAAGCCACACTCTGTGAGTTTTATGGACACACAGAGGCAGCTTGGGAGTGAGCATGCATGAGTGCGCCCAGAACAAGCAGTTTGCTCTGGGGGTACTTGGCGGGGGGGAAAGTGGCTAGGATCACTGGCTGGGGACCCAAGAAGAGAAGGATCATACATCTGGTGAATTCCTCCTACAAAGAGCTTTGCACTACAGAGGAAATGGTACCAAGGCCTGATCAAATTTAGAATATAAATGATCTCAGCTAGAACTAGCACACCAACAATTCAACCTCATCGTTCTGTAATTCTAAATAGAAAACATACAAACTTCAACTAAATATACTTCCATGCATTAGAAAAGGTAAAGCTCTAACAGACCAAAGCAAACTATTACAAAGATATGGTTAAAGTCAACAAATTGCTAACAGCTAAACTAAAAATGCAAAAAAAAAAAAATCAAAATTCAAAGTACCTCAAACCTTAATAAAATATGCAACTCTTATTACACCTTCTACCAAAAGCTCTACGAAGGTAACTCTTTGCAAGAGTCTCAGAATTTAGTAAATTTTCATAGCGGGGTCACCATTTCTACACTCCCCTTCTCAAGCAGAAACAGATATAATAAAGTTATTTTTGAAGAGAAAATTCCACTTCATATTAAATTCATTAAAAATGGCAA